AGGTTGCCAACCTACAGGTGAGGGATTGAGGTTAATGGGGGGTTTGTTTCGGACAGGCTGCAGGTTGCCAACCTACAGGTGAGGATTGAGGTTAATGGGGGGTTTGTTCCGGATAGGCTGTAGGTTGCCAACCTACGGGTGAGCTTGATAGGCCGTAGGTTGCCGTCCCACAGATGAGAGGTAGTTGTTCAAAGGTGTGTGTTGTGCGAGGGTTTTTTGTCCGCTTGAATGGGGTTGTGGTGGGCGTGGACATGCTAAGCTTGGTATGGTGAGCCGACTGGATCCGTCAAGTTGAATTGCCCAGGTCTCAATGACATGGGCCTGGCTGCCGCTCGCAGCGTCAGAGGCGACTTGTTGTGTTGGATGAAGTGTTAACCACTTGGACCACTTGGCCATTGCTATAAGGTTGGAGGCCATTGCTATTGGGTTGGAATCCATCGCTAGTAGGGCCATCGCTATTAGGTTGGAAAACCAACAAAGCGCAAAATATTCGTCCTGCAGACTGGTGGTGCGCCACTTGGTGGCTACCGGCTGTACATGAACACTGGCCGGGACGTGTGGGCCTTGCTTCCGAATCTCCAGTTGAGACAACTTCACAACAGCCCCTTGCTCCTAGTAGCGATGCCCTTGTTACTAGTAGCTTCTTGTTCCTAGCAGTAAGGCCAGGAGCCCCTAGTAGCGTCCTTTGTTCGCAAGAAGGTAAGCCCCTTCTTAATAAGGCACTTTTCAGGACGCCTTCTGAAAGGTGTGAAAGGGGCTCTTACCTTTGCTCCTTTCCTCTTTTTTCACACCAATGAACAAACTTTGGATGATAGGACAGGAAAGACATTGAGAATGCTTAAATAGACAAAGTGAAGCTGCAACAAGAATCAGTCAACACACGGAGACAGAGACCGACAGTCGTCTCATGGACCGCGGTTCCGCCGCTGCTTTCCTGTTTTGAGGATGTGACGGCCTTGGTGTATGACGGCAGTGACAAGCCCTCGGCGGGGCTCTCAAGGTTGACTTTGTGAAACTGAGTGAGTTACTTGTTAGAAGCGATGCACTTGTTCCTAGTAGCGTCCTTGTTACTACTAGTAAGGCACTTGTTACTAGAAGCGATGCACTTGTTACTAGTAGCTTCTTGTTACTACTAGTAAGGCACTTGTTACTAGAAGCGATGCACTTGTTACTTACTAGTTACAACTTACTATATCTACACGGCAAAATGCCATAGGTCCTCAGTGCCTCGCCACTCACCATTACTTTCAAGACTTTCTTCATCACCGCTTGCTAGGACAAGGCCTCACGTATGGAATTCAGACCAGAACTTGTTGGCCTTCGGTCTATTTTCTCTCAAAGGCTTTCCGTCCTTTTTTTTCACTCTTTTCTGTGCAGTTCGCATGTCAACCCGCCAGTGTTCATGGCCTTGATTTTCCCGATTTGCTTTTGGGCGCGCCTTTCTTTGGGGGAGCAAAAAGGTAACTTTTTGTGGTCACTTCGACAAGAACGCAGTTTCGTGAAAAAGAACACTCCGTGACCACATGGGTCTTGGGCTCATCTGAGACAGGCGGACGCTGACCGAGCCTTTTGGGGCTTTTTTGTGGCCTCCAACCTACTAGCGGTGCCCTTTGCTAGTAGCGCCCTTGCTACTAGTGATGCCAGGAGCTATGTTCGTAGCATGCTACGTTCGTAGCGATGCCCTTGCTAGCGACGGCCTACCCCAAATAGGGTCCCAAGAGCTGTGACGAGTTCGACACCAAGGCCACGGAGTTCACGGCGACGTCTTTGGTTTGTGGCCGAATTTACAAGGCCTTCAGCCGCCGACGACACGTTCGTCCGACGTCTCCAACGGGCTCTGGCGGCCTTTTCATCGGAACTCCATGTGGACAGGATTCGCAGATCGAACGCGCCAAGTTCAGATCGATTCTTCCAAGTTCCAAAGAAACATCCGAACTTGGGCCGTTCATGGGCCGTTAACCGTTGGACACACATTCCCTCCTTTGGCGCGAGCGTTCTTGAGGCGGAGGTCTCTGCTGTGACCAGCATTGGCGAAGGCGCGAAAGTTCAGCGTTGACATTCACGAAAGCTAAGTGCCATGGCTGCCAAGGCCGCCATGCAAGCAGGAGTTGGACCCCTGACTAAGAGCTGACAGAACTGCATCGTCATCACTGGTTCTTCGTCTTCACTGGGCAGTTAACAGCTGTAGTACGGCTTTCACCAGCCTTGAAACAGAACACTCACGCAGAACATACCCCGTCCATCACCACACCATCCTTGGTAGAGGCCTACCACATTGCCAGAGTTGAACGCATACCGCTACACCAGTGTTGACGAGCAAAAAAACGTTCAGAAATCACCACTTGCTCAGTGGCAGCGGACGCGTCCACAGATAACAGCACCATACCATTTCACAGTTGGGAATGATGAAGCACGATTTCACCCTTGGTAAAATAGTGCATTGGCCTGCAGTCAGAACCATTCAGAACCCATATACGCTTTCTCAGAGGCAAATATGCACTACTTTGCAGGCAGTGAAAACACGACATATGATCACCCTTAGCTACAGGCCACCTCATCAGCAGCTTTTGACGCCACCATGTGTGTTAATACTTGACATCAGCTGCAAGTAGTACTAGTAGCTTCTTGCTTCCAGTAGTAATGTGACCAGCTCCGTTCGTCGCGATGCCGGCGAGGCCCGCGCAGTAGCATCGCCGCCTTCAAGTTGGCTCGAACCCCATCGCAGCCGGAGCTCCTGGAGGACTTGGCGGGAAAAGACGTGGATGAAACCAAACCACTGAGGACCTTGGCGTTGCTTTCAAACAGCCATGGAGATAGGTCTTTGATATTGAAAAAAAAGGGGTGCGATGGCCTCCAACCTACTAGCGAGGGCCTCGAA